TGATTATAATTAATAAACACTGCAGATACTATTTTAATATACTTATCAGATATTTTATCTGATCATCTGTCTACTGATAAAAAGTCATGCTTAGATCTTATGAGATCTTCAGTATAGTTACCAGATTAGATTAGAACTTCTCTATAAAGATTAATTCTTTATCTGAGATAATATTCACAGATAATTTATACAATCAGATCACATTGTGAATAAAGATATAAGTTAAATTCTTTAACTTCAAGTTCTTATGAGTGAGTATAAAGTGTGCTATCTTGATAAAGTGATTCACTATCATCAGCACACTGTTAAAACAGGTATTATATATATTCTTACTTTCAGAGAGACTCATAAGAGTATTTATTTCTAGCTGTTTTCAAGGTTTCTGTGAGATGAGTAGAGAAGTAAGTTCTTTATATAATCTGAATCACACTACTTATAAACTCTGATAAATAGTATAAGAATTCACTCTCTTCTTTATAAGTTCTTATATCTTCAGTCAGAAGTATTTTCTTATAAGTAACTTATAAGTTCTAGTATCTGTAAAATAATCTACTAGAGAAGAGTTATGATATCTTTTAATAAGTTCTATACATAGAAACTTATTCATGAGTATATAAATCTGATTCTCTCTTTATAAGAGATTATTTAAGTCTCTTTAATTCTTTATTTCTGCAGAGTTAATCTCTACTGTAAGCAGTTTCTGAATATACTGAGTATATTCATTTCTCAGTTGCAGTTCAGATAATCTGAATAGAAGAACTTATAAAGACTTATACTCTGTTTCTTCTTATATCAGATCTTTCACAGCACTTCTCAAAGCTTACAAACTCTTCAGATTATAGATACTCTCTTCAAGAATTCTCACAGAGATTCTCAGAGTGTTAACTCTCAGTGTTATAGAGAGTAATTATACAGACTTCTTCTCTCTCTCTTCTCTCTTCTCTCATAAGAAATTGAGAGACTCTTCAGTTAATCTCTTTATAACACTCTGTCTGAGTATTCTGTAAAGCTTTTCTATCTTCTCTAATCTCTCTGTATCTGTTATCTTGATCTTCTTAATGTAGTCTGATCTGTGAGAGAATTCATCTGCTGAGTTCTTAGTTCTCTTGATATACTCTATCTTGAATCAGAACTCACTCAGTCTCTGAGCTCAGTTAATCTGCTACTGTGAGAGTTTCTTGATTGAAGTAAACTATTATAAACTGTTATAATCAGTTCTAACAGTAATCACTGTTATAAGACTCTTAAAATAGTGATATCAGTGATAAAAGAATTTCACTATTATAAGAAGCTCTTAATTATAAATATTATAGTTAATCTCTGTAAGTTATATCTTCTGTGAGAAAAAGATCACTGAAACTCAGTTCTCATTTAACTGTAGTTATAAGATTATTTCTGAAATTATAAAGAAAAAGATATCTATCTTTAATCTAGTTAAGAGTAAGAGATTAAAGTGAAATAGTATTACTATATCTGTGAATATCTATTTTAATCTTATAAAGATCTTATACACTTCTGAGATAAGAAAGTTCTTACAATTCTCTCTTTTTAATAATCTTTTTATTCTCTATTTATAAGATGACTTTTTCTTATTTTCACTCTTCAGCATGTCTGTAAGAGTTAAGAAGATTCTTATAAATATAAAGATAAACTGTCTATAGAAATTCACAAAGCTCAGAAAGATCTGAATCTTATAAATACTAGTTAACTCTGATTATAATAGAATAGTCTTAATCTGTGAAGATTTCATCTGAATATTATCTGTGATAATTATATATTTTAGAAAATTAATTCAATAGATACTGAAGTTATACTTTATAAACTTAATATATAGTTCTGTCTTATCTAGAGTCTTTAATACACTTTGTATATACTCAGTGTGTTCTTTCTTCTTTATAAAGTACATTATCACATCATTCAGATATACTATTATAAAGATATTCAGATATACATGAAGTATTTTATTAATAAAAGACTGAAATACTGTGAAGATATTAATCAAATCAAAAGATATTACTAGATATTTAAATTATCTCAGTGTAGTTCTAAAGACAGTCTTTTATTCATTTTCAGACTGTATTTACAGCTGTGTATATATATTAATTACATTCAGTTATGTGAATATAACAGCTTCTGTGAGACAGTTAATCACATTCTCAATTAAAGATAGAGAGTAGTAACTCTTTATTATCTTGAAATTCAGATTATAGTAGTCTATATATAATCTGAGATCTTTATTCTTCTTCTTCATAAATATCACAGAGACTTTCACAGAGATCTGTGAAGACTGAATAAAGTTATTCTTCAGATTCTTCTTTACATAGATCTGTAAGATCTCTGTCTCATAATAAAAAAACTTATAGATTAATTCTTAGAAGAGTTTCTATTCTTCTATTAAATCTATTATTAGATTCTTTTTATAGTAAGAAGAAAGCTCAGTTATCTTTACTAAGTTAAATATCTCTATAAGATCTCAGAATTTCTCTAATATCTGAAGCTCAGTTTTCATAATCATGAACTTCTCAGACATTTATAAAGTTATTATATAGATGAGCTTATATTCTCTAATTAACTCTGCAGTATTCACTGACTCTATCTCTATAAGTGAGTCTGTTAACACTGATCAGAAGTATAAACCTGACTTGTAGACAGCTATGTATGAATTATATCTTTGAAGATATATAAGTCTTAAGTACATGTTATCTATGATATCTATAATAATTACAGTTTTTATAAATCTTCTTCAGATTCTGAAGAGATCTTATAATTCAAAGATAGCTCTTATAAGTCTCTTAGCTCTTAAATCTGAGTTCTCACACTCTGCTTATTATAAGAGCAGATTCTCAGTTTTCATTATTTAACTTATTCACTCTGTGAGCTTTAGAATCACTACAGTGACCTGAGATTCTGAGTTCATTAATACTTTTTATACTTGTGAAACAGTAGTACTACAGTACAGTCTCTTCTTATAAATAAGTATTTTCATTGAAGAAGTAACAGATTCAGATATTAACTTCAAGACTCTAAGAAGACTGTTACTGACTTTATTC